CGTTCATTTATAAAAGACGATTTACTTTTTTCAATGTTAGTTTCACATGTGTCATAAGATGGAAGGCTAGGTAGGCACACTCATACAGTCTTTTAGAGTATAAGAAGAGGATTAATACGTTGACTATAGACGATGACATCTTGACACCCTGCACGGACCATAAAGTGCATCTATAATTTGATGATACTTTCATTTTCTTGTTATCTCTGATGGAGACTTTAGTAGATATTTATTTACTTGAGAGGTGTTTGTGCAAGTTTAGGTATGTTTAGGATAGCCCACGACTAGGGCTGGAAATGAGTCGAGTCAAGTCGAACTCACCTCAGCTCGGCTCGACTAGTTAAGAATTGGTTCGAGTTCGATACAAACTTTTTTTTAAGCTCAAACTCGACTCGTTATAAGTTCACAAGCAGTTCGGTTCAACTCGTTAGGTTCATCTCATTAGGTTCAGCCCACACGATTCACGGACTTAAAAGCTATTTTTTAAAATATATATATATTTTAGTATATTTGACATTTTAAATAAATATATATTTTTAAAATAAAATATTAAAATAAAATAAAAGTTATCATATTGAAATTTAACTTTATCTTTGAAATCTAATAATTCAAAACCTACACAACTTTCAAGAGATACATTTGAGAGTTTAATTCAAAAACTACTAAATTAAAGATTAAATTTGTCTAAGATTTGGAGTAAATATTTAAACCTAATCTTAAAGACAATATAATTCTTCTCATATGTAATCGAGTTGACTCATGAACCTAACGAGTCGAACTATTTATAGTTCAAGTTCAGCTCATTTAGTTAACGAACTTAATTTTTCGCTCATACCCAACTCATTTGGTTCATGAACCTAGTTCAACGATTTAATTGTCGAATCGAATTCCGAACTATTTTCGAGTTGGTTCGGTTCATTGTCAGCCCTACCCACGACCAATTTCAGTTGTGCCAACCGAGGACATTGATAGATAGTTTATGGGTAACATTGTCAGCTATATCCGTGTCAGCTATTGATCCGCTGTCGCTCGCGGATCAAAAACGAGTAATTTTTGTAAAATATAGTAACGGGAAGCGACACTCGGAATATCGTTCTCAAGGATTCTTGTAGTAATAACCAATTATAATAACAGTTTATGGGGGGTTTGAATTTTGATTAAGAGAAAAAATACTGAAAATAAGTGATTATAATAAAAGTGATTATCAGATAAACTAAAACGGTTAATCCTACTGATTCGGGTTCCGACTTATCATCGGTTATTATAACATCAATCCCTAAGCGGTACCAATCCTATTTGATTATGATATTAATCAGACAAGCGCTTATCAACATCAAATGAATTATGTTCCTGTTTACCGAATTAAGCAAACGGTTAAGAATATAACGAGTTAACGAATTAAGCAAACGATAACACGCAATTAAATTTAGGAACATGCATACAATCGAATTTAACCAATTCTATCCTATGAACAACAATTGAATTAAGCAAACAATTGCAATCAAATTAAGCAGATGACTTCATAGAAAAGGATTGAAAGGAATCAGAGTAAATTGATATAATAATAACCTCAAAGTGTTGAAACCGTGCACAACAGGATTTGCCCGGAGGTATTAGTTCTCCATGAAAACTATAAAACAAAGGAAAATTTGAAAAATAAACTAGGTCGATGTTTTGCATCACAACAACAACTTTAAATAGAAAATAACTGGGCCAGAAACCTAAACTAGGCCCGCAAGGAAAACTACATTGTCACAAGTCAGAAACTTCAACGAATTATTCGAGACTCAAGAAATCCGAATCAGCTCCTTTATGCAACATGAAAGTTGTAGATCTCTTTCTTAGCTTTCCAACGACTGGTAGAACGCCTCAATCCGATTCCTGTAGCTCCAGTTATGAATTTTTCACTAAAAGCTGTTAATGCTGAAAAATAACAAACGAAAATTAAATAAAGCTTAAAATAAAATAAATTGTAAAAACATTATAAAATAGGAAATTAAATAAACTAAATGGTAGAAATGCCTAAGTCTAAACATAGAGGAAGGTACATTAAAATGCACTGATCAAATTCCCCCACACTTGAACTTTTGCACTCCGAGCAAAGTATTGTCAAAACTCATGAAACACAAAAACATTCAGCTATTCAATCTAGACTGTGAACTCCTCTTTGGTCAAGATTGCATTGATAGGTACTACTTTTGCATACTAAGGATATCGTAAGAACACAAATCCGCAATTTTGCGATCATAAGACTCCCTCCTATACAAACCAATCCAAATCATGTCGTTATGCCTAAGTCTAACTTACTCATCCTCTTTTTTCACTCTCTTTCATTCTAGTGCACTCACATTAAGCCCTTTATCTATTCACACACATGGTAATTAAGCTTGTTAGTGACTGTGATCCATATTTTTTTTCAACAATTCATAATTAGACATTTTTCTGTCTTTTCTTTTTTTTCTTCACTTTTTGTCCTTTTCTTTTTCTCTTTTTTTTTCTTATTAAGCACGGGATCATTCACTTATTTGCATCAGCTTAATTACTTAGCATGTCATTTTTAGATGGTGCCGACTGCTAGATAAACTACTTAAGAGCTATTAAAGGACGAGAACTCAAGACTAAGTCATAACAATTATCTAAATCGATTTCCATATTTTGGAGACTCAATGTGTTAAAACGATACCGATCTTATGAATTTTTCCCAAGTCTCTACAATCTGACCTCCAATCGATCTACAGCCCAAAATTTTCAAAAAATGCATTGTGTTTTTCTGAGTAAACAATTTTTTTATTAAACAAAACAAAACAAAGAAAATTGAAAGAAATAAAACAAAGTAAATGGTTCCCTCCCCCACACTTAAATCATACATTGTCCTCAACGAAAGAACATAAATATAAAATAAGAGTGAGAGAAAGGAAGGAACACACCCGAGGAGTCAAGGTGGATAAGTGATCACATATGCATCCTTTCCCAAAGAGAGATTTCCTGCCGTCTCCTCTTCCAAAGTGGGGAGTAACTTTTGATAGCATCCATCGCCCTTGAAATTTGTATTAGTGTCTTCGCCTTTTATTCCAGGATCAAAGAAGAATCTTCGATAAATAAAAGTGTCGTTGCAGTACAGTGGTAAGCGTTTCAGCCTATCAGGTGAGTTTGTAAGCTATTGTTCCGATTTGCTCCGAATTTTTTCCAGAAAATCAGAAATAAATCGTTTAACAATACTCATTTAGAATAGAATTCTAAAAGATTTTGACCCTGAAAATCGCAAATTAGTTATTTTTCTATTTTTTTTTCTATTTTCATATTTTCAAAAAAAATCCGAAATTTTTTTTATTGACTCATTCTGAGTAAAGAAATTCCGTGTCATTATCCGTGTCATTATAGATCATGCAATAAAGGTTCAGTTCCATACGTAGTTTGTGAATGGTACCTTACCGTATCATACCTTCGCATCTTCACACTAGAGCATGCAGATAATGCTAAACCTTCTAATGTAAGGAGGACTTTCTCATGACATGTCAGTGCATCCACAACCTCCGCCTGGTGTGGCTGACAAGTTGAATATGAAGATGACAATAGTCATTATGGATAAGTTCATGAGTTTGATAAACTCTAATAGTGAAGTTTATACTTTGGCATCGCAGACAGCACACATAGTTCATGGGAGACTTGTGTACACATTTGAACCATATTATTTGTATTATTACTCATAGTATTATCTGTATTATTACTCATACGTTTGCACCATACAATTTATTAGAAAATATTTTATAACTTAAACATCACTTCTTCTTTTTTGTATGAAGGGATGAACATAGCTTATCATTTGAAATTTAACATAACTTAACACATGACATTTAATATATCTTAACACATACAATTACATAATTTCACAAAACAATAATAAATAATAAAACTTAGACACTACTAAATGAATTTGGACGTTTCAACATCTTGGTTATATTGTCGACAAATCTAACAATTGTCGCATCAAACTCGACTGATCCCTTTGTTTACCTACAATGATATATTCTCCACATAACCTTCAAATCTGCATGAATCTTCAATTTAATATTGTTTATTTCACATTCCTTCAGTATCCATGGTGCACAAAACTCAATCTTTTTTGTTTTCGGTGTAGGGTAGTAGATTATCTATTAAGGATCTCAGAACAGCGAACTGTTGATGTCCTTGAGTAGGTGAAAATCAACAGAAGATTTCACACGATTAAAGAACACAATAGTCATAAACGAATATTAAGACATTTTAAGATGTTTTTTAACGATACACGATCTATAAAGTTTAGATTTATTATGGACCACACACAATTATTGGTGTTATCACGGTCGTACAAAACTGTCAGCAAAATCTCAACCATTTAAAATTACACTACCAAATTTTATGAAGTCCTTCCAATAATACAATAAATGTGTAAGCTTTAAAATAACGGATGATTTAACACTATCGAATTTTTCAATATTTTAAAAAAAAAACTGATAAACCATGGTGCTTTATATGAAAATCCATATGTTTTTCTATTCACCGATATTTTTTTTAAAAAATCAATAAAAAACATAAGAGGAGTATCAAAATCAATAACTTTTAAAAACCTCTTCTCTGATGTGGAGGCACTTCGATGTCGGCATAGCCCGACCTTTACTAAGAGAATTCGATCTCATAAAAGAAATTCCAAACAAACTTTTAAAAGAAGAAAAGAATACAAATTTGTCCAAACCATTACATATGATCATCAAAATAAATAACTGAATTCTAAGTCATATTTACAATTATGTAATTTGCATGATAATTTATCATAGAACCATAGAGTTACAACAAGAGTTAAATAACCACACATAATAAATTTTGCATAGGTATCTAATCATATTTTACTATCATCTTGCAATGAAAGCAAGTTTGAAATAGTAATACCACAATATGATAAGATGCAAGGAAAAAAAAAGATTAAACACCTATACAACTCATTAATAATACAGGAAAGATCATCAATCGAAAGAAGGTGTATGATCGATTGTAAGAGCATCACTGAAATTAAGACAATAGCTACGAAGATCATAGCTATACTGTGGAATGTTCCTATGACATCCCATAGCTTGGTTCCAACTACTCTTCAGCTTGTATAGCAGCTTCCTGAGAACCCTTGAAGCATGTTTACAACAACCAAGTTGCCTCCTTCTTTGATCATTACCAAGTGTCACTAAAGGAGTAACTCTCATTTTACTCTAAAGTCTCAAGACTTGAACTCTTTGAGAGATATAAAACTGTGATAGATTCCCCTTATAGTCTTTCTCTACAAGTCAACTTGGAAAATGTATTGCTATTAGAAATATGTACTAAAAAAAAGCATGAAAGGTGAGCTTTCAAGTATCAACTATAACAACCACACAAAACTGACATCAAATATATGATATTGAATTTTGATTTGTGGTAGATGTTAGACATTATCATGAATAGTGTGCATGAAGTGATTAAAAGTTCGTTTGGTACCTTTGCATAGTTTAATAGTGTTCCAACATGGAGTAGATGTTGAAAACTGCACTTTAGTGATGTTACATCAAAAGGATGTTCAAACATATTTTGGAAGAGTCTTCTTTACAAGCAACTATTTGGTATATACATTTTATGGTTTACATCCCCTAGTTGCTTCTAGGCCCTCAGACAGAAACGTAAAATTCAAGCTATCCACACCTAAAGGTTTCAAAGGAAAATTGCTGTTTTTCTTTGATTCACATGTGAGGTAAAGAATGAAGCAAATGTGATGTATTTAATATTAAACATATCAACAATTCATAAAAAGGATTGCGATAATGTCCCCTCTCTTAACCTTTTTATGTTGAAAATGTAAATTCCTAGAGGGATTCATAATTTCATTTGAGACAGACTGTCATGTTCACATACTTCAAAAGGTAAGAAAAATTTGTAAATAATTTCACTTAATAAGATAAAATCTATTTAAACCAAACTCCTGTTTGTCATTTACAGCCCGAATCCTAAGGTCACATTAGTATTGTACACAAAATATAGGAGAAATAGTTTGAACCATTCAGGTTTGTAGTTCTAAAACCAGGCGTGATGTATTTATCATTCATACACAAAAAAAGCATGCTAAAAAAGAGTTGATGGTGACCAACAAATTCTTAGAAATATGAAAAAATAATTATTTAATTCTTTTAATTTGTTTTTAAGAACCGAAAATTTATCAAATGTATTTTCACCTTCAAAATGTGAAACTACGATAAAAATTACCACTTCTTTAAGTTTACCAGCAGTTAATTACTATTGCATATGATCTAGATAATATAAATTAACCCTATCTAAAATTAAGTGGACTGCAATGTCAAAGAATAAACTAATTAACCATTATTATTGAAAACCAATTCAATAGCCACACAAAAACATCCTGAGTTTAGACATCCAATCCAGCTTATCAATGAAAAACCAACAAGAAAAAAGCTAAACTAAACATCCTGAGTTTAGACATCCAATCCAGCTTATCAATGAAAAACCAACAAGAAAAAAGCTAAACTCTTCAAGCTTTCTTGACATCAATATCAAATCGGGGAAACAAACTATATGAAATTCTAAAATAGCTTATTCGAGTCAGAAAAATTACAGGATTGACGTTAAAAACCAGTATTATTATGAGAATAAATAATGCAGCCCCCAACTTAGTATTGTTTCAAATTTTCAATGACAAAAACAAAAGGTCAGATATATCAATGAACACTTGGGATTCAGCATAACTGATATATGTCGATAAACACTTGGTAATTGGCATCAAATCATGCATAAAGACTCGATAGTTAAAGACTTTGAAAAATCTATCTTCCACTCTTAACTCAAAAATTAAAGTTTTCAAAAGAAACAAAAGCAAACGCATATGGCACAATAACAAGAACCCATGCACAAAAACAAAACTCATATAACTAACCACTAATATCTTCAAAACACTTCTCATTACAGAGAATTAAAGAGCTTCTTCAGTCACTTATCAAAATATCAAAGCTAAAACAACACCAAATAGCAGAAACAAACTTTTCAAATACTAGAAAATTCAACTTAAACAATAGCATTAGCAGCACTTGCAATCCTAGGCCACAGATCAGCACACTCCTTCCCAATTGGACCAGTAATAGCAGAACCTATAGTTACAAATACACAAAATTAAAGACCAAAACCAAAAAAACACTAAAAAAATAACTAATTGACCAACAGAAATCTGATTAACTATTAAGCTCGAATTATAATCAACAAATAAACTAAACTAAACAAAAACAGTTGAATTAATTGATCTAATACCTTTCATTTCACCCTTGGGATTCACAATCACACCAGCATTATCTACAGAATAAACATAATCCACAAAATCAACAATAATTCACAAAGATATAAATCAAAATCAAATACAAATTTGGGGAGAAAATCGAGAAATCTGATATACCTTCGAAGTACATGAAAACACCGTCCTTTCGGCGCCATGGTTTGCGCTGACGAACGATAACAGCCGGCAGCACCTTCTTACGGAGATCTGGTTTTCCCTTCTTCACGGTAGCCATGACCATGTCACCAACGCAAGCAGAGGGCAAACGGTTGAGTCTTCCTTTGATACCTTTGACGGAAATGATGTAAAGATTCTTAGCTCCGGTGTTATCAGCGCAGTTCACCGTCGCAGCCACCGGCAGACCGAGTGACATTCTGAACTTGTTACCCGCGGAACCTCCGCGACCTGAGAACAATTAGAAAACGAAATCATTAATTCAAGCGTGAATGAAGTTAATCAATTATTCAAAGATGAAACGAAGGTAAAGTGATTGATCAAAAGATTGAATATGAAATTGCACCTCGCTTCGACATTGTGGCTGCTTGATCACAGAACAAAAGAAACCCTACTGCTCTCTTTCTGTTTTATATATGGCTCTGATAGACTAGGGTTTTAAAATCAGTCTCACTTCGAATATTATGGGCTTTGAGACCCGGCCCATTAAATTGTATCACGTTTAGATCCATATTTTATTTTATTGGAAATTATTTTCTGTGAGAAGTCACAACTGACCAAAACGTTCGGACAAACATTTTTGTACGCACTTTTTTAAAAGATATTTTTCAGAGTAAATTAATGAGACACACTATTATGCTAAAATTTAATTTGAATATGCATTTTCGTATGCATAAAAGATATATATATATATATATATATATATATATATATATATATATATATATATATATATATATATATATATATATATATATATATATATATATATATATATATATATATATATATATATATATATATATATATATATATATAAACACCATTAATTCAAAATTCAGTGGATGATTTGGTGATGCATCTTCTGGAGATTTTATTTCATATACCCGCGTTAGACTCTTCCATCTTCCTCTTTCAATTTTTAAAAAATACTCTAAAAATATCATTTGAGCTCTCACGTCCATTCAAGTTTTTCATTTATTCAAGTTTTTCATTTATTCAAGTTTCTCTTTCTCATCCATTTGATTTGGTAAGTTTTTAATTTTTATTTTATTTTTTATTTTTACGTTTTGAATGATAGTAATTGTTAAAGCTACATAAGTTGTTTAGGCTACATTAGATAGTAATAGAATCGAAAGAGTTAGTCTAAATGGACATGCATTGGCATTTTTTGAAGAGTTATGGCATCAATGGTGTTTCTTCCATGGTTGAGAAAATCACAACTTTATCCGGAGATACATCTTTGGATTTTCTCTGTATTACTTTCGGAGATGTATCTTCAGATTTGTATCTAGTTGAAATTTGGTTGAATTTGTGATTTGACTTTTTAGTTTAAACGCAACTGCAATGGCTGATAATAGAAAGTCACATCACAAAATCAACCATCCCAAACCACATTTATACGACATGATATAGTTGTATCTAGGACCACAAGGCCACGGTTCAATGATAACTCATTTGATGGTTCGCAACGTAGAGGTTTACAACCATATAGTTCTACTTTTCGAAGTCATATGATTCGGACCTCTACTTCACGAGGCCACAAGTTCCTAGATGATGAAGCTGTACCTGAAGCCCAGGAGGAACCCGCTAACAATGCCTATTTAGAGAGTTATCTAGGAGGCCTATTTAACACCCTCTTACTTCACTTCTATGCAGACCATGTTGGTATGCATATTTAAGAATGAGGGATATGTTTATTTACTTTTGCATTACATTTTTTAAAACTAATTAAATGCAACTGTTGGTGATATTTTTTTTACAAGAGTGTGCATTTAAAATCGGAAATCCGCAACAAGAAGATATTGGATTCGGAATAACCAACTGCTTATTGTTTCAGATATCCCATCTATTATTCTGATCTTGTCGATTTATGTTCATTTACGTACATGACCATAAACCATGGCATGGGTGCGGAATTTGCAGAGAGATGACATTCAGAGACATCGTCTTTCCACCTTTCTAGTTATGATATGACCATCACATTGAATGACCTCTCATGCCTCTTGCAACTTCCCATCAGAGGAAAATTAGTGGCCTATGAAAGGCTTGGTCGAGAGGAAGCCATCGAGATTATGGTCACCCATTTGGGGGCTGGCCCAACTAGGACCGCAAATGAGGTAGTTGGCACCAGAGGTTTAAATTCTTGGAACAACTTTATAAAGACCAACTATAGTGGGCTAAGGATGTCGATGGTGATGATATAGAGATTGAGTACCACTGAAAATATGCATTGAGGTGTTACCTTTTGTTCTCGGTTAACACGTTTATTTTGTGGACAAAAGTGCAACCTATGTTGGCATGGTCAACATGAAATACTTCATCCATTTGACGACGATTTATGAGTACAGCTGAGGGGTCTCTTGTTTGGTCTATCTATACTCGAAGTTGGTTGAGGATTGTCTTTGGAAGACAAAGTAGATGACATGAAGTTGTACGTTGTTTACCGTTGAAATTGGTAAACAACTGCTAGTCTTCCAAAGTAATTAAATCTTTGGTTGCTTACAGGATCGACTAGATCGATCCTAGGACATGTGTTGTTATTTAGTTTTTGGGTTTATTAAGTATGAACATTTCGACAATGTTCTTAAAGTTGTTAATGAAATATTGCAAATTCTTTAAGGAAATGCATAAAAGTAAAGATTGCAAAGTAAAGGCTTTAAGGTAAATGGAAAGATCTTAAAATTGCATCAAATGTAAATTACAATAGAAATCTTAAATAATCTGGTAAAAGTGTAAAATATGATGTTAATACTTACATTTTCACTCAGGAACACTCTTTTCTCACACACAGGTACTTAGAGGAAATTTAGAGTTTTTTTTACAAGTTGAACACACTGAATCCTAACTGCTAAGACTCTATTTATACTAAATCGAAAATAACCGCTATCTAACGGTCTTTTTGTTAGAAAGCACCACGTTTCCAATTTGCGTGCATTTCGTTACTTCAAAGCTCTCCACGTGTCTTGAAAACGAATAAGACCAAAAAACAGTTATCGACCTCACATTTGAATTGCACTTGTCGAACGCTTCTTCAGGTGAACATCGTCGAACTCCAGTCTAGGCCAAAAACCTTTATAAGTCCTAGACCATAGCGTTCTTCATGCATAGATCTCTTCGACTAGGTTTTCAAATACTTTCTTATCGAAAACAACATTCCTTTTCAGAATAATCCTTCAAACTCTAATAATTCATTTCAAACCTTCATATGCGTCAAAATATTCTTATCATTATTTGTTGTCTAAATCATCATATTCTTATTCGGAATATATCTTTGAATTTCATGACTTATTTATATGTGTCGAAATCCCAGGTAACACATGTTGCTTACGATAATTTACTGTTACTAATATTTTCATAATTATTTTGTTACACTTGTTATTAATATTTTATCTGAACACTTTTCAGGGGTGGATAATCTCTCACCCTTATCATATCTCCGAATGGAAACAAGTGCCTACCTACACTGAGGATTAGACACGTGTTGTCGCCTTTGCGAAGTATGTGGGAAATAATGTGATTGATCCATTTCGAGTGTATTTTGATTGTCATGTAGCATATTACATTGTCTTCTGCCCATACGACAATCATCGCGAGATGCGTCTAATGGGACATTATTTACTTATACTCTGGATGGTTGGTATGTGGGTCAAGTCGGTATCCTTATCTTTCCGAGTAAATGATGTGCTAGCTTGGGTATTTGAAGATTATTTGAGACCCCCCGTTTGAGTCTGCTCCTCCCACCATCCGTCGTAGTGATCTTGATGCTATACTAAACGATTTCGATAGTCACTTGGTATCAAAAGAGTATCATAAGGTGTCAGCTTCTGTACATTGGGTTTATGTTGACAGCTACATGACATGGTTCTATAAGGTGTCACACCCTATCATGACACTAGACTCTCCTAGAAGACCACATAGACAATTTAATAAAAAGGTACTAAAGGTTATAGATGACTACATCTAGGACGTGATGGCGGTCTATCGATGTATTGTGGATATGGGGCGACCGATTATTGAGGCTGGACTTTTTGAGGAAGGTAGTCCTCAGTTGACCCTCATAAAAGGCATGATTGTTGAGACACATAATTCCTTGAAGCACATGCGGAAAAGAAGTCGGGGGATTAGACATACCCGATCATTCATGTTTTTTGTTGTATTTTTTTTTTTACATTTTTGGAACAGGTTATGTACGGATGGTATATTTTGATAATTGCATGACTTTTTTCATAATTGCGTAGTATGTTTGAAGCAATGAATGTAAGTGTTTTTTTATAAATCATGGTTTAGTGGAAATGCACCTTCAAATTCTTTTTTGGAAAAAATGAGACATGTGACTGAATTACAAATGACTTGTGTGATTTAGGTGCGTTTGAAGATGCATTTTCGAACACAAGAAGAACATTTTTGAATTTTCAAAGGTGTGCGTCACACCCTTAAAGATGGAAAGAGCATTTCCCATTTTATTTTATATTTTTCGCATATACATCCATAAAAACAATAATTTTATATTCGCATCAACGCATTGATGAGTCATTACTCCAAGGCTTCTCAAGCTTGCTTTTAGGTTGTGCAATCACCAACCTTCTCAAAATTATTCGCATCAACGTATTGATGAATTAAATACAGTGCCTTATAATCTTTTGTCTTCTCCTCCTTAGGCGTAGTCCTTTATGTTGTATGCACCTTCTACAAATGGAGTAACATCATTCTTGATCACTTCAAGAGCATCTTGATAACCAAACAACATCTTCATTTGCTTGCTTCACTTGTCATAATTCTTCACATCGAGAATTGAGAGATTTACATAAATAGGAGATGGAAAACATTTTTGCACACTAAGTGTTAGATGAATCGAATTCGGCTCTTGATGTCAAATGTTAAACGAGAGAGAGAGAGAGAGAGAGAGAGAGAGAGAGAGAGAGAGAGAGAGAGAGAGAGAGAGAGAGAGAGAGAGAGAGAGAGAGAGAGAGAGAGAGAGAGAGAGAGAGAGAGAGAGAGAGATTATTGAAGGTGAAAATGATGGACTCTTTATTAATAAGATATTAAAATAGTAGACAATTATACTAAGTGAGATATAAGTAAAAAAAATAAAAATAAAAAATAAAAAAATAAAATAAAAAAAACTAGTAGTGTAACCGATTACATCCCTGCGGTAAATCGGCTACTGAATACTATTGTGTCTGTTGTAACCCGTTTCAGTCAAAGTGTAATCGATTATCAAATAATTATGTTTAAGGTGTAGAAATGTAGAATGTAAGTGAATGTTTATTTTGAACTGTAATTCAGGCAGATTTGTTGAAAGGTACAAGACTCTAGATGGCTAAGGATTTCTCACTCATACCTATTAAATATATTACTCATAAACATCTCATGTTGCATAACTCATTACTGTTTGAATAACTTTGTCTATTGCTATTAACCTAAATTAACCCCTACATTAGTTGAATATTAAAAATGTCCTCCTATGATTTAGAAGAAAAAGTATGCATGGTTGGTCATCATAGTTTTGAAGACAAGCTTGGATTAACTGTATGCAAATTGAAGGAAAAAAAGTTCTGACTTGAGGCAATTTTTTGGAGGACCTGCTGATCATACTTCATTCACAAAATTCTACCATGATGGAAAATAGTGTTAAATGCTTATCTTGATAATATTGTCCTCATTGAAGATAATGTAATTAACGTGGGAAGAGTAGTAGAAAAAGTAGTTGCAGGTTTTAACATTAACAATTTAGGACCCTAGACATATTTCCTTTGTATAGAGGTTAGAGGTTGCTCCATCCAAAAAAGGAACTATGATTTTGCAACAAAAAACACAACCTATATCTATTGAAAGAAACATGAATGAGTGGTTTCACAATCCCATGAATCTTAATACAGAACTTTAAGGAAAAGGAAGTGATCCTATTGACTGCCGGAGTCAGAAGATACCATATGAATGTTACTATCCTTTACTACTTTCTAAAATGACGAACACAGTTATTTCATTTCGATTGTTGATCACAGTAATAGCACTAATATCACATAACAACCAAAAAAGTAGCAGACAAATTTCTCAAACAATAGTCTCGTGTATTTATCACCAAAAAAATTCTAACAAGAATGATGCAGTAAAACATCAAAGATTCAGATTTGCAAGTGGCCAAAAAAGGTTATTTTCATTTTTGGGCCATGAATGCCTAAGATTTTGGAGAATATTTCCTCCAATCCCTAACAAAAGTCTGGATACATATATCCAGAAGAAAAAAACCCAACGTTGGACCGTCTAAAGTAAAAGCACGCTTTCAGAAACACGTGTGGGTTTTTTTAGTAGAAACGTGCGCCTATAGTTTTCAGATGGCTGTAAAATTACTATCCAACCTCGTAATGAGCAAAAAAAATGCCTATCAATCAGCAGCATGGATCTCTGACAGCAAACCTAGTTTAGCCAAGAAGGCCTATCTATCACGCAGCATTGAATGATCTAACTGTTCCTGTGTTATGAGAGGGTATAAACGAATTAGCAACATTGTAATACACACAAGAAACTTATTTTTCTATACAAAAGTTGAAAGGGATGAAGTTTCATGGAAAACAGCACCACAGATGTGACTCAGTGATCAATTAAGCAGTAGGATGAGCAGTTTATGTAGTGTAAAACATGTTATGACGATAAAATACAACTACAATATGATAATTTTGAACTAATTCAATGATTTTAGAAATTATTGTTGGGATTTAAAATTTTCACTTTTATTCTGAAAATGATATGCTAAAACAAATTATAGCTTTTCAGGAACAGAATCATAGACCAATTTGGAAGCGGATGGAGTGTATTCCATAAGTTTGAACCATAAAAATCCAAAATGAATATTAAAACAGAGTAGAGAAGGCCGTGTGTAGGAATTGAGTAATCTTAAAAAGAGAAAAGTTTATATCATTGGTGTTGAGATTATAAAAAAAATTATGCACATTACACACAAATGACAGATGAAACTTACTATTTGTTCGCTTAATATTCTGCAGAATCTACTGCCACATTTGCACTTAAACAGCTCGAGTGACTGATCATCTTCGTCAAAGTCAATGCCGTAATCCTGCAAAAAAAAATGCCCATAGCTTTTCTAGAGGGGAAAAATCAATTCATGTATAAGTAAACAATTCAAAGAATGTGAATTACACACGAATGAGAAGCAATGGAGATGTTCAGTAACAAATGGCCGGCCAAGTGCCAATGAACCGGTATACATGGCATTTTTCAACTCAGTAGCCATATACCAAACAAAACTTTATATCAATACTCAAATTTTCCCGACTTCTCTGAGTTGCTAATTTATAGGACCATTCATCATACATATTATAGAACTAAATACACATACCCAAGTCAACTCTTCCTGTGCTTCAATTTTTCTGGACGTGAAGAAGGCAATCTGCATGTTTGAACATTCAAAAACATCTGTAAGCAACGTTTCTATGGGGTCAACCTAGGGAACAACTGTAGTTATAAATGACAAATGTAATTTTGCAGGTTTGTTAACTTCTCACGTGATAATAGTGATGAGATGGACTCTCAACTTCAACCGGGATCTCAATCAAGTTTGCATCCAAACATCTGCCATAAAGGAATAGAATTACTTAGAATCTTCTAATTTACAATTTCAAATGATGATTTCAATGTCTGCCCGGCCACCCAGAAATACAGTTAGCAGTACAATAAACATATCATTAATAGCATGCATATTTTATACTAAGTACTTTTTGTCTATGCAATTTAATAACAATACTATTAGAATTTAGGTTTTGCCGAACTCAACAATGCAAAACCGGGAGCCTTATTTTAAAATTAAAAACTAAGTGCAGCCATGTCTTGCCCATTGTCTTCTTACATTAAGCATGAGTTTATTCTATGAAAACAATTAGAAAATGGATTTTTTTCCCTTCAATCATCTACTCATCCCATTATCTCAAAACTGAACAGTTGTCAAAAATCTGTATTGATGAATCCAACATCAATAGTCCAACAAGCAAATTAGTTTTAAAAAATTAAACAAAATAGAAACAGTAGAAAAGAATATCTATTGCTAAACTAAACTTAACAAAATAATCACAAATGACTTCTGTTGAAACTTGGGAAATTGTAATACCTGTGATTAATAAACCGAGCAGCATTTCCATATGATGCTGCATATAAGCAAAGAGCTTGGTTATCCTTTACAACTCCTGAGCTCCATTCTGCATCCAATAAAATTGGCAACGTATATTTTCTAGCTTTGTTCCTCTCATGCAGCTCTTTGACTGTTAGAATTTCTCCAACAAACTCGCATACAAATGCACCTTTTGGAAGTTCCTCTAAGGTGCGAAGACCCCATCCTTTTCCATCTGAAGTTAAAAACACCTGAGTAGAATACAATCATTAGAGAAAACATTTCAAAATATTGTAAGGGAAATTTGTTAAAGAACAGAAAGAATGCAAGTGTTGCCTCAATGACATCAACATTAAACAATCACCTGCAAGTTGCAAGTTATTCCACGCTGGACAATCCGATTGCCACAATGATTCCCACAGCCACATTTGCTCCAGCATTCTTTAATAAATTTTCTCTTCAAATGTCCTTTACATGGTTCTAAAAAGCCATCATTCTTTGAAGTTTCAAATGGACATTCTTTGCAATATGTAAAACTTTGAGTGCGACTGTTGGCAATACACTCTTCCAAGAATTCTTCCTTCACTACACCTTGTGCAGTATAGGTAAAATCCCCTCCAGTTTTATTTGCGCAAAAACATGGTTTAGATGATTTGACACAATTGCCCATACAAGCACAACAATCTTTATTCCCAATTCGCGATAGAGAAATGTTAAGATATGCATCTTGGAACACCGTGTTTTGGGGCATGTAGTGAAACAAAGGCAGGAAATCATTAGTAGAATTATTCACCCATGGAATTTTCACTTTTTCTTCTCCCTTTGTTATGTCATCTGGGTCACATGGGGAGGGTAGAGAAACAGGAACTTGAGAAGCAACTGGGGCTTCATCTTCAACATTTTCGTTCCTGCATTGTGATGCCACTGCGTTGTTGTCATCTTGTTCTTCAGCACTTAGAGGTTCTTTAGAATGAAAGTATGTCCAAAAAAAAAAAAAACTGATCAGAAGAAAAATAAATGGCACAAAAGTAAATTTTTTTTTGTATATGACCAAAAAAAGATCATTCTGATGCAAAAGCAAACAGAAAATATTTTAAGACAGGCTTTATGGAAATGCAGAAGTGGCACAGTATGCAAGTGGAGACTTGCAAATATAACATAAGTCAAGGAATCACATGGTGGGATGCCATAGAATGCTAGAATTTAAAGGATAAAAAATCAATCTGTTCCAAAATTTGAACATTGAGTTTTGCTGAAAAAATCATGTATTTTTCCATCGTTTATTATTGGATTTTTAACAGAAGTTAACAGAGAGAAAAAGTTGCCAGATAGATGTTATGCTGCACCCAAAAAAAAAAATAGAAACTTCTTTTCAAGGCATAGTCAGCTGTTTACCAGGAAAAACCACTGAAATGGGAACCTCATAATCTGCGTCTCCATCAACAGGCTCTGCCTTGGGGATGATAAAAGGGTAAGGATGGGGCGTTTTGATTTTTGGCGATGGAGAGGTTCCTGGTTCAACTTCCTGTTCTTTAGACGGACTTCTGTCAGATATAGATTTTCTCCGTCTTGAAGTATCTAGAGGTGAGATAGGCTTCTTTCCCTTGTCAACAACAGCATTTCTTCTGGATAACACTGATGGGCTTTGAGGCTGCAGTTCGGAACCACTTTCAGGTACTGTACCAGGTATTGGTTTAGGTGATTTCAATGGAGAGGAGGCAGGTGAACGTGGGCTACCGCCACTAGTCTGAAGGCGTGATTTCAATGGAGAGGAGGCAGGTGAACGTGGGCTACCGCCACTAGTCTGAAGGCGTGATTTCAATGGAGAGGAGGCAGGTGAAGTTCGGCTACCGCCACTAGTCTGAAGGCGTGTTTTCACTGGAGAGCCGGATGAAGTTGGGCTACCGCCACTAGTCTGAAGGCGTGTTTTCACTGGAGAGCCGGCTGAACTTGGGCCACCGCCACTAGTCGGAAGGTGTGATTCCACTGGAGAGACGGCTGAACTTGGGCTACCACCACTAGTCGGAAGGCGTGAAAATTGACCGTCTTGGTCTCTTAAACGCAACCTCTTCAAAGGTCGCACTTGCTGTACAGGTCCAGGAGCTTCAGCCTCAACCTCACCTTCCTATATTATTGAAAAACCATAATTCATTTCAGCAGCTAGAGAATTAACAGTAAGAAATAAACACAGACAAAACCAGAATTCTTATATAATAACAATTGACAAGCATTGTGCATGTGAAATGAGAGTAAATTTCACAGAATAATAGACCGAAAATTATGAGAAATAGATGATAATGCAGGAAATAGTATACACCTGATTATCTTCCTGTTGATTATCTTCCACATCGAAAATAGCATCTACAAGAGCAGTGTAATTATCTGCTTCAATAAGCTCCCAGTTTCCTTCATACAATTTTATCAGTTTCTTTAACACTGGTTTCACTTTGGATTCATGAATGCCAAGGTTCGTCATTGCACGGAAAGCCGCTTTAACTTTCGGATTGGGTGGTGCCATTTATGATCACTCAGTCACAGCTTTCTCTACTACACGCTACCACATTCAACAGAATCTCAACCATATTTCAATGATTCCAGGATGAAACAAAATGCAGTATATGATTTAGAAATCACAAATACCAGTTAGTTACCCTTACCGAACGATGTTTCTGCTGAAGTCAATCTTGATTCTTGAACGGTGATCTTAATGGCAAAGATTAATGCAACAATTGAAACCTAAAACCGATCAAGAACAAAAGAAAAACGTAAAGTAATCGTGGGAGAACGAAAAACGTGGAAAAAATTGAAGTGAAAACAAGAAACGGAAGTTAAAGAGACGGAACAGTAAAGAAAAGATTGAACCTGTGAGAATCGAAGACCAAGATAATGCGGTCGAGAAACAAGACGAGGGTTTAAAATGTGTTAAATTGGTTGCATTTATAGTTTTCAACTATTTGTAAGAAAGGGGAATGGAGGGAATGAGTTTGGGAGAGTGAAGAAATGAAGAGAGAGAGAGAGAGGGTTTTACCTGTATTGACTATTGACTGTCGTTTCAATTCACAACAGAATCACTTCTCGTTGCGGTGCTGGGATTTACAGAAACACTTTTAACAGTAATAAAAAGAATCACTTCTAACTGACGCGGTCACTTTCAAACAACCCGACCCGATTCAATGTCCAATGTAGTTGTATGAAGCTATGTTTATTGAATTTCACCTTACTAAATCGTTTCATTAATTTTAGTTAGTAAGAGAATCTTTTATACATGATATTAATTGACTCAATTAATGGATTTGTATAGAACTTAACTGAAAAGTATAAACTAACTCAAATATCAGCAGAGTCATTGCATACAGTAGTCTAGTGCTGGGTGGGTCTGTATGTATCTGATTCTGGTAATATATTTGTTTAAAAATATGTATTATATGTGTGCACTCTTTAAATTAATGATATCCTAAAATCTAAAATGATTATAATTATAAAAGAGAGAAAAATAATTTATATTCTACAATAACAATAATGAATACATTAAGAGATTAATTGAAATACAATGTCAATAAAATTATTTTACATTATCATTCATTAAAATTAATTATTTTGTATTTCAATTAATTTCATATATTAAATAGAAGTATTTTATAAATAAATTATTAATAAATGTGAAATTTTATTAAGATACACATGAAAACTTTAAAATAACCTTATAATTAGAGAGGAAGGCAACTTGTAAAATTATGATGAATCCTAGATTCATCATTCTCAAATGTGATACATAATACCAAGGAAGAAAGTAGTGAGATAGGTTAAACTTAAGATTCATTTGACTTTCATTCATTCATAATCTCATTTATATTTGTATCATGCATCTACTCGTAAAGAATTAACGGTAGCTAGAATGTGAAGTCTATTGTATCATGCATCACACAATCTCATTCTTCTCTTCCATCTTTCATATGGGTCTAGTGCATTAACTTAATACCCATATTTTTTTTCATATACTTTCCCCGATTTTATTTATAAGATTCAAGAATATATTCTCAGATCATATTTATAAGAAATAAGTTGTCTTTTAAATTTAATGAATAATTAATGTAATTAATCTATTATTAAAAATATATACATCAATTCTTAAATATATCTAAAAAAGTAAATTGTTTTCTTTATAAATAGGACAAGAAGGAATATTAAACGGTATTTCGATCAAAAGTTTCAAAATCTTACGGATGCTTTTCAGGAGCATGAGGAAGGTACTTCAACAAATGTTGATAGGTCACACTATTTTTCTTTTTGCCCTAACACAACCTTACAAAACCGGTTGGTAAGGTGAGGAGTGTTACTCTATATAAACTATTTCAATGCTTTATCTCCAACCAATGTGGGATTTTAAAATCTTCCTAATATTCTCATAACACCACCAAGCCATGAACCATTCCCACAAGTTGTACATTCCAAGTCACGCTGCTTTTCAACACCAAACTCTAAGCCAAAGCCATCACAATTGAGCCAATAAAACCTGTGCATCATAATATCAATGTTACAAGTCATGATTTCGCAACAACAAACCGAAGCCAACATAAATTTCCACAAAAAAAACAATACACAATTGGCAAACCATCCCCCACAACTTTCCTCCCAACCACATGCTACTAGTTACTCCACGTGAAATAATGAAACAAAGCCACACATCCTGAACGAAACTCCCAAGCTGACCCCACACACACCATTTGCAAATGAAGGAATAAAAAAGGCAAGTTTCAAGCAGCAATCCTACTACCACTATCAATACCAGCTACAACCATACACAAAAAATAGTCACCATGTTTCTACAAATAGTAGTATGCATACAAAATTCCAAGCCACAATCCATTTTTCTCAACCTTCCACTCCAAAGTTGTACCTAAGCCAAGCATCAACACATTGCATCATGGATTCTACCACATACTACATCAGTAACAAAACCGTGAGTGCAGAACTTCATATTTCTAGCACGCAAGCCACAATAACAACAACAAAATTGTTCCTCAACACAACACGACAAAACAAACCTGTACATCCAATACAACCCGCAACACACCTTTCCTCTATATTACACACAAACCATCTCACCCTCTCCGTACAACATAACTTGACCCCATAATGTTCCACAACAATCAGTGTTAGAAATTTGGTGTGATAATCTTGGATAACTTCGAGGAATCGTGTTTTGTACACTTTCCGAACAAAGTATTTCGATCCTATTATTTTCCTGGATTCACGAAATCTTTGTGGGGATAATTCTAGAAGAACAATATGTTTTTGGAAATAGAGAACAAATCAAGAATGTATAGAGAAAATATTGTTATTGTTCAGTGTGTAAAATTGAGGCCAAATGACTCCTTATATAGGAGATAATTGACAGAAAACGAAAAGGCACAATTGTTCAAAATTTCCGAACGGGTTCATCTTTTCAAATACGAATTTTGAGCGAGACCCCAGCCAGGGGCTCCTCCCCTTGGACCCCACGGGGCGCTTCCCCGCACCCCGCCAGGGGCTTCGCCCCTTGGAATCCCTACTCTCATTCAATTACACGTTGGCTCGACGAGCGTGCACTCCGCACCACCCTAACTCATTTCCAAGCTTAACGCATAATTGCATCGCCCTACAGTAAATATCATTACTACTAAAATATATTGATGATACTAAAATCACCAACAAATCCCCCCCATTTTAGTGTAATCCTTGATTTACTCCATATATACAATAATATATACACAGGTATAGCAATCAAACAAATGCATAGATGAAAATGTCTTACGATTGAATTTTCATTTTAGTACAAGTACACATTCCAAATACTCGAAAATTAGGGTGTCATAGAGTTTGAACCCGTCAATCCATTTGAATATCTGAAGATATAGTACACATATGTTTCTTATAATACTCTACTATTCACACTTGACTCTTTACAAGCCACGTGTCCTTATCCATTAATAAGCATATAGGAAGCCAAGTCCAAGCTTCTTGAAGCGGCAAAACTTCATGCTCACATAGGTGATCCCTTTTAATCTTGCACCTGTATTTGCAATTTTCCAAAAGAACCATTAAGAAGATATATTTCAACCTAGCCATCACTTGCAGGTCTGAGCACATACCTTGGGAAGATAAACACAATTGCTCCAATTTTTAACTATGATCTTTCCACATTGAATTCTGCTTCTAACATTGTATTAGAAGGGAATTAGATATACCATAGCTAATAAATTTAAATGGACTTTAATCCCATTCCAATTACCGACTTCTTCACTAAGTCTCTAGCTAACTCCTTCGTCAAGTGGTCGGCTAAGTTTTGTTGCGACCGAACAAACTCAATAGATATCACCCCATTCATGATTAATTCCCTAATCATACTATGTCTAACACCTAAATGTCTAGACTTTCCATTGTATATTTGACTATAAGCTTTAGCCAATGTGGCAGTACTATCACAACGGATAGAAATTGGTGATATCGGTTTAGGTGATATCAGAATCCCATATCAGAATCCATTTTACAATATTCCAATGCTTTCTACCTGGATTTGACAAAAATCTACTGACTGTACCAACATCATGTGTTATATCTGGACTTGTACACACCGTTGCATACATCAAACTAAATACAACATACACATAAGGAACACGCTTCATATCAAACGCTTCATCTTCACTTGAAGGACTTTGATTAGAACTCAACTTGAAATGAGTAGCGAGAGGAGTGCTTACCGCATTAGAACTTTCTATTTGAATCTTTGCAGCACTCTTTTGATATGATTTTCTTGTGACATTCAGAGTTTCTTCTCTTTTCTGTCACGCATGATTCTATTTCCAAGAATTTGTTTAGCTGCTCCCATGTCTTTCATGGAAAATGACTATCCCAATTGCTTCTTTAACATGCTATTGTTAGAAATACTTATCCCCACAATAATCATATCATCAATATATAACAACAGGATTAGAAATTCATCATTAGAAAAGTTTCTAAAAAAGACGCAATGATCTGAAGTAGTCTTCTGGTATCCTTGATCACACATAGCAGACTCAAACTTCTTGTAGCACTGCCTTGGAGTTTGCTTCAACCCATATAAACTCTTTCTCAATACACACACATGATATTCTTTACCTGTAACATGAAAACCACCAGGTTGTTTCATGTAGATATCTTCCTCCAAATCACCATAAAGGAAAGTCGTTTTCACATCTATTTGCTCAACCTTTAAATCAAGAGTAGCAGCCAAACTCAACACGGTTCTAATTAATGATATCTTTACAACTTTCCAAAGTCTTTTTGCCTTTAGGCAGCTTCACTAAATCATATGTGTGATTATCACGCAATGATTTCATCTAATCATGCATTGCATCCATCCACTTTTTATTTTCATCACTTTCCATGGCCTCTTAAAAACACTCGGGTTCACCTTCATCAGTCAAGGTCACATACTCATCATAATTATACCTTGTAGAAGGTTGCCTCTGCCTGTTAGACCTCCTAGGTTGAACTTGA